CCCCCCCACTGGCCCTGCTGAAAATACCTGACAAAGGACCCCTGGCTACCTGAAGCTGCTTTGTCGCCTGAGTTGCATAGCGTGCTCTGCAGCGACTCTGCCCCTCACGTGCTCCTGCCACGCTAAGGTCAGGGCTGCAGTGAAGACACTCTGGAGTGAAAACGTTTTAACTTCATGACATAAGCGAGTGGTTTTGAAACAGGTTTACAAACCCTCGTGAAGACGCACCCTTAGTGTTAGGTTTTGTTTTTTTACCATGTGACGATGCAACTATTTTCTTCCTCTCTTCCACAGTGGCTAGTCGCCTCCAGAGTGAGGGGTATCTCTTGTACAGAGAACCTCGGAACATACGGAGGTAGTTTCCCACCTATGGGTAAAGCAAGAAGGCTCATTATGAGGGTCACATCTTGATGCAGAAAGGGAGGGTCCTGGTGCAGAGGCTCTGCCGACCGAGTAACAGAGCACAAGCTGGCCTCCAGGCACCAGGCTTTCTGCAGCCATAAAAACACATTCTGCTGACATCAAGAGTTCAATAGCAGTGCACATCTGGCCCACATCTGCCTCTCTAAGCGGGGGCAGTACCATCTGCGTCCTAACGACAGGGCTAAGTTCCAAAAGGCCTGACCAGGCGCTTCTGGGGCAGACCCCCAGAGCTCACTGAGACGCTCGAAGTGATTCTGACTTTAAACTAAGGATCCCGAACACTTTCCAGAAATGTAAGGCCCCTTTGACTTTCTTTTATCTTAAGAACAAGACTTTGATATTTTTATGATGCCATAAACACCAAAAAGGTCTTTTAATTTCGGACAGATGTAGGATAATTTCCCCCATGGCCCCTGTTGCTTTGTTTAGTAACAAACTCAAACCAGGAACACCAAAAGAATTTTCCGAGAGTTTAAAAAACACTTACTGGCAATCACCAGATTGCTATATAAATCACTATTGCCTCAAACAATAGCTTCAGTTTATCTATAACAGATACTCAAAGTATAACTTCTTTAATGAAAAGAAACCTAGTCTCAAAGTTTTTATAAAGAAACTCAATTATTTCACTGACATTGCAGAAATGACCACTCGAGTCAAAATGACCACATGGCAAAGGACAGCCAGTGGATTGGGTGCCACGTGCTGGTTCCACCTGTGACTGGGAATCACCTCCCTTTTCTGGGTCTCCTTACTCACCTGTCAAATGCTGAGCAATTCTGAACTTTGCCCCACGAAGCACCATTTCTATTATTTTTCCCATTTACCTACCCAGCACAGTATGTTTATTAAATGTGTTTCTCCATTTTTCATGAATCAAAGATTTTTATGATCGACAACCAGAGCTGCTGAACAGCCTAAGAATGGCCACAGGGGCGCCTGGGTGGCTCAGTGGGTTAACTGTCCAACTATTGATTTTGGCTCAGGTCACGATCTCAGGCTTTGCTGAGTTCAAGCCCACATCAGGCTTGGGATTCTCTCTCTCCTTCTCTCTCTCTCTGCCCCTCCCCTGCTCACACATACTCTGTCTCTCAAATAAATAAACTTATCGCAGGTCCTATAGTGCTCCAGGACACCTAGATCCTTCCCAAGACCCCTGAACTTTGGAGACTGGAGCTTGCCTTCCTGGGTTTTCCCCAAACCAGCCTGTGCCCTCTCTGGACCTGTTTCCCAGATGTAAAATGAAGGTGTGAACCTGGGGATTTCTTAGGGTCCTCTCAGCTCTGTGACTCTGGCTTAGTGAACACAGCTGCCTGCAGATGGGGGGAGAAGAGTGACACACGCACTTGCTGCAATCACACATGCCTTCCCAAAGCTGCTCCACAGATGTGGCATGGGGGCACTGGATGTGTTGCTATGGCCGACCCACCTCTCTGAATATGGTGCCTGTTTTCCAAGGGGAAGGGACCTGCAGGCCATCCACCACCCAACGCTGTCACAGGAGCTTCTGGTTATCAAGAGTCAGCCTCCTGATCTTGAACCCTTCTCAGATGTTCAGCCTGGCCCAAGAGAGTAGATGTCTCTCCCCTCTCCCATGTGGGACTCTACAGACTGGGTCTCAGGACAATTGTTCTTACTCAACAGGGCTGAAAGAGAAGACTGCAGTTAGCCTTCTAGAAACGAAGGCATGTTACGGGGAAGATCTTGAGGCCATCAAGTCTAAGCATCTCCCACACATGAAAAAAGTTACCAGGAAACAGCCCTTCTTCCCATCTGGCTACATGCTCCCTCTCAATATACTCCACCTAATAAATGAAAGCTTCCTTCTCAAAACTAGCACCCACTGAAAGTCAAAGCCAAACTGACTGCTTTTCCTGTCCATTACATCGGTTAAAGGCTTCTTTAAACAATCTGCCCAGTATCATTTGGGAACTCCTCAAGTGCCTTCTATCCTACATTTAGGCAGCTTCCTACTGGTCAATGAGGACGATTCCGAGCTGTGGCACATGGATAGCCACTGACTCCACTTCCCCAGTAATATCTGAAGAGCAGCATTTATGTCATAACATGAAAAACGTATTGCATCCTGCCCTTTTTGTTTTACAAAACTTGGTGAAAAATGGAAACACTAAAGTCCTGATACTACTGACAACAGTGGTATCCTAACCTGATCCAACTAAAACAAGTCAGGAATCACAGGGGGTCATTCATTCATGCTATGTTCAGTTGTGAAGGGGAGAAAAAAAACTATTAAAAAAAAAAAAGAATGAAACGTTGGCATAGGATACTGAACACCACTACAAGGAAAGACAACCCTGGGCATTCTGAAACTGCTTTAGCTCTCCAGGATTGGCACTTACCTCATTATACAGGAAAGACTCTACAGCTTGGTATTTGCACATCTGAACTGCATATACCACAATTAAAAAAAAAAAAAAAGGAATATACACTAGCTGGGGATTGCTTTTGGATCAAAAAGGGGTAGTTTGAAGCAACCTGGAAAAACAGTAGACTTAGTACAAACTCCCCATTGAAGGACGAGGTGTAGGGTTTTCCTAAAATCAGCTGTTCAGCTGACTCATAAAAATGCTGTCACTTCTGGTCAAGAATCAAAGATATTTAGAATCCTTTCCTCATAATTCTGAGTTAAATTCAAGACAGCCAAAGCGTCAACTGGTTCTGAACTGATCTAGCTCAGGGACTGGGGCCTTATCCACCCAACACAGGATATCCATCCTCCTCCCTATTTCCTCATTGGTAAGTAACAGCAACCAACACTTTGCGAGATGAGACATCAGTAAACCCCATGTTTTCAATCTGAGATTTCACGATCCCAAACGCAGCAATGGAGGAGGGATACAAGCGAAGCTTCCGAAATCTCTCCTCCAGGCGCCCCAGGGGCTAACCGAAACATCCCGTTTCTTTGCGGCTGGCTGGAGCTGTACCAACTCAGGATGGAACCAGTGGCTCCTCGGAGTGCCCTAAGCCCTGGCAGCAGTGGGCGACGCCCACCAAGACGAAATAAGTAATCCCAGACAGCCGACGTGCGCGGGGCGGAGCCAGACAGGCCCCACCCGCCCTGACGCAACGCGCGCACGCGCCCGCCCGCCGCGATGAATGGAGACGCGCGCTCCCGGCAAGCAGACCCGCCCCGAGGCTTCCGCGGGGCCGAGGCTGGGGAGGGTGAGGACGCGCGGCGGGCTACCTCAGAGCCGATCATGTAGAATTCTCCGTCGTCTTCTAGCTGGAACTTGACGGGCTTCTGCCCGAAGGTCTTGCTCAGCGCCATCATCATCATTTCGGCGGCGGAGGCGGGCGGCGGAGGCCGAGCTGCAAGGGATCGGGAGGACTGAGGAGGAGCCGAGCCTTGCCGAGCCGAGAACAGCCGAGACCGGGCGGCGAAGGGCGGACAGATCAGGTGCTAGAGCCGCCTCCGGGCTCTTCAGCCGCCGCCGCAAAGGACCAGGCCGCCCTCAGTGCGCAAGCGCGGGCGTTGACGCTGACGCGCGCGCCACCGCCTCCCTAACAAAAGGCTGGAGAGCGCCCCTTCGGGCCGCTTAAAGGAACCGCGACCCGTTTCTTCCAGACTGCTTCCCAAGTGGAGGTACTCCGAAGAATTTCTCACGGACAGAAATAGCAACAGAGGCCCTGACTCAAGCAGTGATTTTTCCAGCCTCACAGCTGGGACTAGAACTCAGCCCAGTGGAGGAGGAGCAAAACGAGGCCTGAGACCAAGAGGAGGCCAGAGCTACCTGTGCCTCAGTTTCACCACCCGAAACACGCAGTGTAGTTGAGTAGATAAGAGGGATCCTAGGAACAGATACCCCAGTTCCAGGCCCACAGGTGTTCCTGCGGCTGTGGAGATGGGCAGAATGGCAACACTGGGTGAGGGGTTGGCATGGGCAAAGGCTCCCCAGGCTTGGCAGGATTCCAAGGCCCAGGTGGTATTTGGTTTGGCTGGGGCATCGGTGAGCTAGAGGGGAGGGAAACTTCTCCATTTCTCTGCACTCTTCCTTAACTCTGCACTCTGTGTCTACAGCAAGTGCAGCCGTGGGGTGCTGAGCGAAACTAGATAGCCCTGCCCTGCAGAGCTTACAGCCAGGACTGGGGCTAACAATAATGAAAGCATCAAAGCATCCGTGTTTGGTTGCACAATGCAGCAGATCAAAAACGGCCCGCTGCTGACAGTTTCATATGGTTCAGTCTAATAAAATTGCAGCTGTGATAGGTGCTACTATCAAGAAGATACACATGGGGCTGGGGGGCAGGGCAGGGAGACCCTTGAGGGTTAGGTGGGGTCAGCTGTGGTGACCATAAGTTTTGTTCCTGTCCTGACAGCAGTGAGAAACAAAGTATTTTAGGATCAAAACTGCGGTGTGGCATGACCAGATAAAGTGGCCACCACTTGCTGGAGGATGTTGAGGGGCCAGCGGGGAAGCAGGGAATCAATTACAAAGCCACTCCAGTCCCACCAGGCTAGATGGAGGAATGGAGCAAGAGGAGCCATGGCACTGCATCCAGCCCCAAGGACCAGAAGCTTGGGTGGGTGGGAGTAGGCTTGACCAGGACACAGCAGGTGCTGAGTTGGCTCCCAGGTCCCCAGCTCTTCCCCCCTTCAGGCCTCATAGTTACAGAAAGAACCCAGGCAGTCAAGTAGAAAATAACCATATTTAATGACAGTACTCAGTAGAAAAAAAAAAAAAAGGCTTTGTACACACTGTACACACATTTACATGATTTTGGAGGATCCCAGTGCTGGGATGAGGGCTGGGAAGGATCTAGCCCAAGACAGGATTGAGGTATGTTGAGGCTTCAAGGGCCCGGGTCTCCAGCAGGAAGCACTCCCATCCCCAGCTGACTCTGGACCTTTTGGCCTGGATCCTGGGGAACATATCCCTAGGATCACCAACTAGAAAGCAGCCAGATCCAAGCACCTGCCCAGAGCTGACCTCTCAAGAAAAGGTAGAAGGCAGTGGTGCCCCTGGCCCCCCTATGCCAGCACCCTGCAGGAACCTCACAGCAGGGAGGGAATGAGGGCTTCAGCTCCCCCAATCCTGCTGAGGTGCTACCCTGAGGGATAAGTATAGAAACTGAGGGCAGGAGGCTTTGACTGTGACCTGCACAGGTTGGGTAGGGCTGGCCTGAGACCACCCTCACCCTCAAGTAATGCCAGAGTCTCCTCGCCTAGTCCAAAGCAGTCGCTGGCAGGTGACCACGACCTGCGTGGCCCTCCCTGCAGTTGTCAAGGTGACAGCAGCCCCTCCCCACCCTCCTGAGGAAACACAGGCTCCATCCTGTGCCTGGTACCCACAGCCACAAGGATGGACACTGGTCTCTATCCAATATCAGTGGCCTGGCAGGAGTCAGGAGCGCTGAGGGCATCCAAGTCAGTTAGCGGAAAGTGTTGGCAGGCTCGGTACAGCCGAAGAAGTCAGGGCCCACGAGGCGGGGAAAGCCCTCCAGGGCCTTCACCTTCACAGGGTCGAACTTCCAATAGAGGCGACCTCGCAGAAAGTAGGCATAGCCTGAGGAGAAAGGAGGGTCAGACCTGGGTGAGTGGACACTGGGCCCTGCACCTGCCAGTCAGGATGTGCCCAGGGACAGGCACAGGAGGAAGTCAGATTCTCAGGGCTTGACCACTGTTGTGTTTCTTGAAACCTGCAGGCCCCAGGGTGGCCTTTCTGGAACCTTCAATCCCTTGGAGTACTACCAGTCCCAAGATCTGATCTGGGCTATCATTCCAGCTTGACAGATGCCTGGAGCCTCGGAAACTCAACTCCTACCTCTCAGGAAAGCAAGTCTCCCTCCCCTCACCCCACCCCACCCTACCCCCATGTCAGTTCTATTCCTGTACCTGCCAGCCAGACTATAGACCGGCATCCTGAGGCAAGGTGGGCCATGCAAGTGACCCAGAGCCCCAGAGCTACCACAGGACTGCTCTCCCAGTAGGTCCTGATGGGGGAGAACACAGAAGCAAGCTTCAGGGTATGGGGGAAAAAGTACTGGACTGCAAGTCCCACTCTAGTCCTTCAAGATAGTAGGCCAGTTCAGTGGTTAGGAGCAGGGACTGCCTGGTTGGGAGGTCTGGCTCCCCACTGTCCATCTAAGTGGCCCAGTTAGGGACCTCATTACGTGAACTTCTGTTTGCCCCTCTGGAAACTGGGTTCACAGCAAGTGTTATGTCAGAGGGCTGTTCTGAGAACTGCATGAGACATAAGGGGCTTAGCACTGTGCCTAGAACATCATCGGTCCTCAGTGTGCAGCAGCTATTATTTTACCAGCTATACTGAGAGACCTGGGCAAGTCCTGGCACCTCTCTACCCCTCAGTCTTCCCATCTGCAGTATGGGGGCATGGCATTGCCCTGGCACAAGGAGGAGGGTGGACAAAGGACCCGTGATGAGGAGCTAATGCCCAGCTACCACCAGGTAGGAGATGTGGCTCTTATACCACTTGTACCAGCCACTCCTCTCCCCCCCTCAACGCACCATCAGCATCCTGGAAGGCGGCGTCAATCTCAGAGGGCACTCCTCGCCAGTCAGTCACCCGGCGGGGCACGGGGTTGTCCACACGGCGGGTGCTAAGGTGGAAGCGCCAGTAGTCTCCATCTCGGAAGAAGTAGATCTTGTTCTTCTCAGGGCCCCAGGCCAAGGCAGCCTGGATGGGGGGCCCCAGCAGCCCCAGCTCAGAGAGGGGTGAAGGGCCCAGGACTGGCTTCTCACCATTGTATACCCAGTACTGAGTGCCTGCCAGAGAGGGAAGGCTGCAATGGAGCTGCCCAACCACTGTACCCGGCCACCATGGACCTACCTGGCCAACACCACCGCCAAACTTTCCCGGTGTCAGTTTCCTTGTCCATAAAACACTCAGGCCAGAAATCCCACTCAGCACCCTTATCCCCAGAGGGAAGTTAGCGCCAGTGAGGACAAGTTTGGGTGATACATGCTCTGGGAGCTACTGCATGTGGAAGGTTATTCTAAACAGGAAGGAAACCTCCTGAGCTCTCGATTCTTCCCCTGGCATTTGGTTCCTTGTGACAAGTGCTTCAGACCATTCCCTGGGCCCCATCCTTGCCATAGCAGGCTTGGGCCTCTGTTGATGAAGTCCCTGCCACCTAGAATGCTTCAGGCTCTTGTCTCTCCCCGTTGAAAGTTAACAGCACGGGCTCTGGGGTTGCCAGAATGAGATCATATCCCTGCTCTACCTTTTCCAAACTGTGCCGTTAATGAGTCACTGTACCACCTGTACTTCCCAGAGATCTCATCTCTAGAGCAGGCGTACTGATCACACATACCCCCTAGGATGGCTTTGAGGGTTGAATGAATGGATGCACAGTCCACTGTGCAATGCCTTCTATCCTGATCCCATCTTGAGAGCCACCTCCTCTGGGAGCCTCCCAGCTGTGCCCAGAGAAGTGAGTCATACTCTCCCTTGGCACTGCCCATCATGTCTGCCTGGCTGTCCCTACCCTGGGCCATGATATTCCTGGCTCCTGAAGTCTCCTGGGCATGAACCCAGTCCCCCTCACCTTGGAAGAACCAGATGTGGCCCTGGGCATCTTCAAAGGCTGCATCCACAGGGCTGGGCAGTCCCTGCCAGTGACGAGAAGCCAGTGCAGGGTAGCCAGGCTGCAGCCGGCCCCCACGCAGCCGCCACACAAAGCCCACTTTGAAGAAGAAGAGCTCACCACGGATGGTGGAGACTGCATCAAAGGTGATCTCGCAGGCATCTGGTGGCACTTCCGGCTGGTGTGGGAGAGAAAGGCTGAGCAAGAGCCCACATTGGAGCCACAGAGGCCAAAGAGTGAAGGAAGCTGGGAGCAGGGCCTCACCTCCAGCGGGGCAATCTCGTTGTCATCCACCCCAGCCTGAGGGCCCACAGCCGGGGGCCTAGAGGTGGGGGCTGGCCGGGGTTGGCCGTAGAGGTGCTGGATGCCCCTGCGGTCATCCGGGCTAAGACTCAATGGGTAGCGGAATGTGTAGAAAGGGGACATAAGTGCCTTAGCAGCCGTCGTGTGCTGCAGCCCCAGCACATGGCCAAATTCATGGGCTGCCACCTGCAGAAGGTCTGTGCCTGAAAAAGGGAGATAGCCCAGCAATCCCCAAACCTCCCACCAGAAAACACTCAAACTCCAGAGCCCAGGTCAAGGACTTATCCCCATTCTCTACTATCCGTAGTTGCCCCATCTGGAAAATGGGTCCCCAGCCCATACCCTGGTTGTTCCCAATAGTCCAGGTCTCGTCATAGTCAAAGTGGACATCTCCTTCTCGGTGAGTCTTGGGGAAAAAGGCATGAGCCAGGATGCCCCCAGGTCCATCAAATGGCAGGTTGTCTCCATGCCAGTACCTATGGGTGGGTGGGCAGAGTCAGTGGCTACTGACAGGTGGGGCTAGTTCCCGGAGGGGTCTTAGGTAACTGGTTCACCTGGTAAAATCAATCATGATGTCAGCATGGCCCTCATGGACCTCGGTGAAGGTAAGTGGCGTCACCTCGCTCCACACTTGTAGGGCCTCTGCCACCGTCTGCCGCACCTGCTCCCGTACCAGCTGCCAGGGGAACCGGAGGATCCTGGGGGGAGGAGGAGGGGTCTGGGCCTCACTTGGGACAGCCCCCTGATGGCTGTTGGACCCGGAGTTGCCCCTGGATGCTCAGTGGGGATGCATGCATATGGGACACGTGCCAAGTGTGCTCTGGGCCTCAGCTATGGTCCCTCGTCCACATGGGACCATCTCTGTGTGGGTTTGTATGGCCTTTGGTGCACACAGGTGTCTGCATTTGGTGGAAAGAATGCAGGACCAGGAGCCCCAAGACCCACCTTCTAGACCTGATGGTGCCACTCACTGTGGGGAGACCTTGCCCTTTCACCCCAGTCTTGGTTTTCAGTTCCCCACCCAGGATATTTCTGAGCTCCAATCTGTGTGACACCATATCATCTGTCACATGCCATCCGTCCCAGGCCAGCTCTCCACCTGCAGGACAAGTCTGACCTTCCACATCACTCCCATTATTACTTGCTCACTCACCACTATTCCCATCGGCATGGACCCCAAGCTATGATGGTAGGTCTGAACAATGATGTGGTTAATGCCGAGAGGACCGGCCATGTTTCCCTCGTTTACCACAGAGGCCCAGGGCAGGCCTGGTGCTTACTATGTCCCCAGTAGGGGCTGCCTGGGTGACTGACTGAAGGCCCCCTGCCCCACATGTCAATGGAGCCACCAGGTGTGTGCTGAGACTTTTTGTGTGTTGACAGAGCTACTGCCCCTCTGATGTGGGAAGGCATGGCTATGGTGGGGTGTTGTCTGTGTGTGCATCTAAGTTGGGGTTTAGTGAGTTGGTCCATGGATGGCTCAGGGGTCGGTGGACACACAGGTCTATTAACCACAGAGATCTGGCTCTAGCACGTGTCTCAAGAAGCAAGTGTGAGGGTGGCAGTTCACACACAGACACACAGGTAGGTCTAGAGCCTGCTCCCACAGCCACTGGCCCCTACCTGTAGGTGAGGTCTGTTTTCTCCCAGCGCCCGCCTGACAGCACAAACCGCTTTTGTCGGTTGCGGGCACTCAACCCATCGGGTGGGTCAGGCACACCGCAGCGGGGAGGTCTGGGGCTGCTTGCTGGCTGGAGAGTCTCCTGGACGGTAGAGGCAGGTGCCAGGCTGCTGGGAGCAGCTTCATGCCAGGACTGTGGCCCCCTCCTCACGTGGCGGCGGGGTGCATCCTGGGCAGGAGAGAGGATGTGAAGGCCTGATCAGGCCTTGGGACCTCATGGCCCATCAGCATACTCATGCTCAACCTGGCCCACCTTGCAGATGGGCAAACTGAGGGCAAGAGAAGGGGTGTGCCAGCCATCACACAACAGGGCCCTTTGTCATGGACTGGCTCAGATTTCCTGTGTCTTCCTGGAGGGCCTGGGATGTCTGTCCAGCCACTTGGGCCAGTAAGGTCTGGGTGGGGATGCAGCCCCTGACTCCACACACACCCAGGAATGGATCCCACAAAGCTTTCAAGGAAAGGCCAAGCAAGCTCCTCCTGCTCCCCCTACTGGTCCCCACCCCTCCCACCCCAGCAAAGCTTTTTTGCCTCCTTTTCTTCCTTCCTCCACCCCACCCCCCAACTCTACCCTCTCCAATTACCTAAGCAGGCTCCTGCCCAGGGCCCCCAACACTGCCACACCCCAGTGTGGGTTTGCAGCCCTGTGGCACAGCCTTGGTTTGCTCACCTGACAAATGGGGATGATACCTCCCCAGTGCTGGGCCATGCTTGGGCAGGGGGAGACAGACAATTCCCAGATGCCCAGCCCCACCCAGCCCTGCCAGACTGGAGCCCCAGCACCGCAGATGGGGATTCTAACACAGAGCTCCCACCCCCTGCAACATCCAGGGCAGAGGTTACAGTTTTCACACTTGAAAAAAGCACAAGCTCAGAGAGGTAGGGAGACCCTTCAAGATCACGCAGCAAAGGCATGGCAGAGCCAGGTGAGGAATCTGGTGTCCAGGCAGGAATCAGAAGGTAACCTGTTTCGGGATACTTTGCAAAGCTGGAGAGGCATGGAGCTGTACCATTGGCTAGAGACTAAGTGCCTGCTTGGTCTGGGGCTGACTGGTCTGGGTGGTTGGGGCCTCCCCCACAGCCATATTTGGGGTGGGAGCCAGGTCACCCAGGCCCCACCCTCGCCCTTAGCCTCTGGCAGCTCTCCCAGGCGGTAGGCGTCCCAGGGCTCTGATCCTTGTCCCAGTGCCCCTAGTCTCTCAATTCCAGGGCCACTAATAACTCAACCTCTCAGAGTCACCCAGACTCAACCCTAAAAACACCCCACTAGAAAGGGGTCTTCTGAACACCCAGGGGCACAGCTACCTGAGATATGAGAAAAAACCCTGGACCAGCTTTCTAATTTCAGAACTTGCTTATTGAATGGTTAGTTACCTGGCAGAGCCCAGCCTCACTGGGTTGTGGGTTCCTGTTGATATTGGACTTACTGCTAGTTAAGTACTTTTCACTCTTGCAGTTCACCTGTATCCAGGACCCTACCAACAGTTCCACAGACAAGCTCTTAGCCCCTGATGGGACCTCTCACTAACTCTACTGTCATTATCCCCCATTTATCAGATGAGAAAACAGAACCCAGAGAAGTTAAGCAACTAGCCCAGGTAACAGCTGGCTGGTGGTAGGCTGTCTGTGCTCACAACCCACTCCCTACCTGCTACCTCTGCTGTGCTCTTCAGGCTGGAGCCACCCTTCCCCTGGAGGAGGGATCCAGGCTGCCCTCACTTTGATGACAGAAGAGAAGGAATTGAAAATTATTAAGCACCTGCTACTTTCCTGGGCACTCTGTCAGCTCTTTGAACCTCCACCCCCACACCCCCAATAAGGTGGGGATGATATATATGTGAGGTCTCCCATTGAGGATATAGACCCCAGGTCTGTGTGCCTAGCCATGAGAGCCTGCCCTTTCTCCTCCCTACACTGCCCCCTTGACTTCCTAGATAAACAGATTCCTTCCCCCAATCCTGGAAAGGGTAAGACTGGGTTGTCCCCTGGGAGCCCCAAGTAGCCCAGAGCCCAGCTGACCAGCTCTATTTACGCCTGTAAGCAGAAATCCCTTATCTCCTCTGCCCTGCAGTGAGGCCTGGACCAGCCAGCCATGGAGGGAGGGTAGGTAATGGACACACACCATACCTTCCTCTCCTGCCCCCATGAGGCATGACAGGTCCTTGCCCAGACCGCTGGATCATGGCACTCTCAGTCCAACAACAAGAGTCACAGTCTGAGATTCAGAAGGGCCAGTTCTAGGCCATGCTCACCCTGGGTAGAGTGACCCTGGCCAAGTCCCTGCCCTCTTTTAGCTTTGACTTCTCTGTCAAAGGGGGAAGGTACTACAGCAGCGGGCTGAATAACCTCCCTCTCTGGTGCCCACTGCAGCATCTGGCACAGAGAAGAGCCCCTTGCCTGGCCCACCCCCTTGCCCCTGTGGGCCCTCCCCTCCCACACCTGGAAATCTGCTCTCACCACACATGCTACAGCTCCCACCACCCACCTGGTGTCCTGCTCCCCCAAAGTTCCCAGACTACATCATAAACAGGAATTGCAGCTAGCAAAGGTAGCTTGCAGGCCCAGAGAAGACTGACTTGTGCAGGGTCTCTCAGAAAGCCAGAGGCTCATGCTCACTGTCCATGTCACATTCACTGGTCTTGGAGAGTGAGTGAGCAGGAGGCCCTAGAATCAAGGTCTCCAGCCAGTGGTACTTTCCAGTAATTGTTTTCTGGAGCCATCATTTAACGGCTCTTGGCCTCAGTTTCCCCATTACTACTCCCTGCCCTGCTGATATCCTACACTTCATCTTTATGAGCCTTTTCTGGCCTGGGGTCAGACACCCTAACTGAAAGTCCTGGCCCAGAGCCCCTTTCAGATCCCTAAGACCGGTGTGCTTGGTTCTCCCAAGGCTGCTGGGATTCTGTGAGGTGGGGTGGTGGGCACAGACCATGCCTGGTCTCATCTATGGGAGGGTTGGGTAGCAGACACCACCACATTTCTCAGAGGAAGAAAGAGAGCCCAGAGAGGTCAAGGACTTTGCCCAGGGTCACACAGTAAGTCAGAAGAGAGCTGGACCTAGACCTGGGGCCCATGCTTCTTCCACCCACAAGGCCCCCCTCCCCCTACCTCCTCAGCTATTGGCCTGTCTCCAAAACCCACGTTCCTGAGAAGTGTTTCTTTTTTCGATGCCTTCTCTCTTCCTCCTCCTCCTAGGCCAGGAGCCTTCCTTGGCCTGCCCTGTGGTGGGCACTGAGCTCACTCACCCTGCCTTCCTCTTGCGGGGCACCATATCACAGCCTCAAACGTACAAGGAACTTCTCAGCTGACTCAGTCTCCTGGCTGAGCTAGAGGCTTGGGGTCAGTGCCTGGGTCAACTTCCAATCCAGAAAACGGGAGGCACCCCGTAGAGGGGAGATAAAGGACCCCAAGCCAGGAAACTGCTGGGTAAGGCCAGGTTAGTTTTGCCCCTCTCTGAGCCTCAGTTTGCTATTGGTCCAACGGGGATAATTAATAAAGACGGCTCTGCCTTCCTCTGTTGGTAGGAGGCAACCCTGATGGGAGGGCACTTTGTTAGGCTGTGAGAAAGAATGGGGAGCATCACTACACCATTCTATGCAGCACCATGCCCCTCTGAGGCTCAGAGAAGTCAAGCAACCTGCCCAAGTTGTGCAGCCAGGCAATAGGCAGGTCCACCAACTGCCCCACATTGAACCTAATCTTCTCCCCACCCCGGTCCCTGCTGGCTCCAGGAACAAATGCAGCCTCTGTCCTACAGGACTGCAGGGCTTTCATCAACCCTGAAAGCTGTGAACTGGGATGGATAAATATTTACAGAGCTTTCCTGGCCCCTGTGATGGCAGCCTGGGGATAAACACGTTGAAGGCGACCCCAAATGCTCCCTGCATATCTGCAGAGTGACAGACAACAGCCCAGCTCAAACCCAGCCCCAACTGACGCTGCACAAGCGTCAAAGTGGCAGTCAGAGGTGACATTGTGTCTCCAGAATGACTGGTTGTGCCCTCTCCTCCCATTACCTCATTTAATCCTCAGTGCCCTGTTATCCCCCACCCACCCGCCAAGACTGAGGGGTGGGATCCTATGACACAAGAGGGCTCACCTAGGGCACCAGGTTTAAGCCCAGATCTCTCTAATTCCTGAACCAGTGAGGTCAACTGGCTACCCAGGGTGATTTCTGACTCTCCCAAGTTCAAAGGGAGTGAGAAGAGTTGGGGAAGAGGCAGAGCCTTGGGACTGAGGTACCTCCTTTCCCTAACCTACCCATCCTGTCCTCTTTTGCTCCCATAGCCAGGATGGGGCAAGCTGGCCAGGGTAGAGCTGGTGTGACTGGAGAGAGGGGCCCAGGCTGGTCAGATCTCCCTCCTCCAGATGGTCTCACGACTCCTGCCTGGCACACCTCCTAATGCTCCCATCCCTACCTGGGTGGTGTGTATGCTTCAGCTGAGATCCAGGGGGCTTGTGGGCTTGCAGCTGCCCAGGTTTTGCCTGGCCACCCTTGTGATTGGTCCCTCAAGGCCCCAGCTGGAGGGGAGGGTACTGGGCACACACAGGCTGTCACACAACACCCCACGATTGTCCTTCCTCTACTCACTCTGCTGCCTTCTCACATGGACCATCTTCTCTCTTCCCTTTCTCTTCCCAGCCCCTTCCTTTCTGAGGGTCTCAGCCGCCCACTTTCGGTTCTTTCTTTCTCTGTCATAAACACACGCGTGTGTGCGCACACACACACACACACACCACAGCTCTCACACTCGTGCTGTCCTGGCTTCACACCTCCCAAACTTGCCACTTGTAGGTGCCCAGTTGGAGCCACCTCTTCTGGGCTCAGACCCCATTTGCCCCAGGGCAGTGCTGTCCTCCCAGCTCTTCTTTAATCCTCCAGCTCACTGCACCCCTGGAGGTGTGCTCACCGAGGCCACACACCAGGAGGCTGACACCAGCCTGAGGCTTTGTCCGCGCGAAGAATAGGAGGCCCTGTAACCACTCCCTCTGCTACCTGGTCCAGGAAACAACCCAGCTTCTGCAGCTGGGGAGCCGAGGAGCAGGTCCCCACGCTGGGAGGGGGCGTGCGTCTAGCGCAGAGTCCCGCCTCACCAGCCTGAGCAATCCCGGCGCAGGCTCCACTTGCACACCTCCAGGGACGGGAAGTTCACTATCTTTCACGTCCATAGGGACCCAGAAAGCGTTTCGGGTAACGTGCCGCTCCAGGCCACCCGGGCGCCCCCGTGGGTCCGGGTCCAGCTCGGTCATTGGGCCCAGCCCGCGTGCCCGGCACCCCCTCGGCGAGGAGCGGCCGACCAGCTCCAGGCACTCACCAGGGGCCGCGGGGCCCGGGCCAGCAGCTGCGGCGGCGGGAGCAACAACAGCAGCAGCGGGAGCAGGAGAGCGCGCGGGGCCGCGCCACGGAGCCGGGCGGCCCGAGCCATCCGCCCCGGGGCTGCTGAGCCTGCTGGGCCGCGCCGGGCCACCGCCCCTTATAGCCTTCGCCCCGCCCCGGCCCCGCCCCACACGCCTTTTGTTCTAAACTCTCCCCGCGGAGGCCGCGGCCAAGGTGGGGGAGGTGGAGGGGAAGGGCTGGTCCCGCTAGGGCTGGAGGCTCGGAGACCCAGTCCTTCCTAGGATCGGGAGAGCCTGAGGTCTAAGAGGCCTGGTGTTGGGCGCCCAGGCCAGCTGGTGCTACTCCAGGCCTCACTTTCCCTGCTGTGCTGTGGGGAGTCTGACAGGAGCCGAATTTGACTCCTCCTGGTCCCTACCCCACCTTTGGAAGGGTTTTCCTAGCTGATCTCCCTCGTGGCCTAACCTCTGACCTACTGCTAGCCTATGACAGGTGGTTGTTCCCAGGGCAAGTTCTCCTTAGAGCCTTAGCTGATAGGTCTGGAAGATGGCATAGCAGCCCCTGTGAAACAAGGGATGTGTCTCAGGGGAAACTGAGGCATAAGGAGGTGGCTAGCCAGTCCCCAGCTTAGAACATGTAGACAATTTATAAATGGGAAAACTGAGGGCCCAAGATAAGGCTTTCCCATACCAGCAGGCAAGTGGAGGGGTCAGGAAGGAGGATGCTATCGGTAGACTGAGGCAGGCAGGGAGCCAGTCTCTGAGTGGGGACACTTGTGGCTCAAGAGACTAACACACTCCACAAGGGCCCTAGGGGCCAGGTTTCTGAGACCTGAGAGAGAGGAGGTGAAAATCAAAGGAGAGGGTGATGTCCATATGCTGGAAGGGATCCTCCACTTGTAACCAGGTGCCTCACCACTTCAGGAAGGCAATCTGCTCCATCATGGGCAACCCCGCAGAGCCAAAACCCAAGCAGTGGCTCCCATCCTATCAGGCAGGGTCCTGAGAGGCTGCAAGGTGAGGCTGTGGGCACCCAGCCAGGGCGTAAGAAGGGAAGGAGGCCAACAGGGAGAAGAGGGCGATCAGGCTGACTCAACCCCTCCCTCCAGGTTCGGGTCCAGGGAGCCCTCTGGCCTCTCCAGGAGGGCTCCACAGAGACTCCTAGAGGGCCAGGAGAGGAGAAACAAGGCATCAGCTATCTTTACTACCTGGAGTGTGAGCAATCTGTTCCTTTAAAGTGACTCACTTTTACTTGGGGTGATTTCATCTTCCCTACAATCCCGGTGCTACAGGGCCCCCCACTGGCACACGGGACAGTGATAGGGGAGGGTAAAGAAATTAGAGCTCCTTCCCGCCCAAGGGTCATATGTGATTACTGCAAAATCACTCAGAAAAAAAACCTATAAACCTCAAGCTCCTGAAGGGCTGGGAAGCGTCCTAAATCCGCGCCTCGGCCCTTCCCTTGGCCTGGAACCAAGGTGGTAGAATCGCGAGGCCACAGTATTCAAATCCGCGGCCAACGCCTCTGGGCACCCAGAGGGCCTTTGGAATGGGCATGCTGCTAGTATGTCGCTAAACACTGTCAGTGTCCAGCGCTGCATCCGTGATGCAGGGTAGGGTGTCAGGCAGGGTGCTTGGCCGCATGGGGGGTTTCATCCCACCCCAAGATGGTGCTGCCCAAGACTGGCCAGGGTTGTGGCTCATTTAGGGCAGGATGGAGTCGAAGAAGGGCTCCGGACGCCCCCTGGCGGAGGTTCTGGGGATGGGTCGCGCTGGGCTTTCCTTCGGGAATTTCTTCCCCGCGACCCTGACATCAAGTCGTAGTCAGTAAACCCAGTCCGTAGGAGGGGGACCAGAGCCTGGCCTGGCGCCCCGTGCCCCCCACCTTGCTGGTTTCAACCGGTCGCCCCCCTGTCAAGTTCTCCCCTGGCGCTCGAACACGAACCAACTCCACTCCCAGCGCTCCGCGATAGTTTCTGACGGGACTTTGCCCGTCGCCCCGGCGTAAGCCCTTGTCACTTTGCAGCGTTGGTCCGTGTCCCCAGGGCCCACACAGCTCGGGCCAGGCGCAAGGAGGAAGCAGGGTAACATTTCCAGCTAAGAAGGACGCTGAAACGAGGTGATGCTTGAAGGGACAGGTCTCGGAGACCCGCGCGAAGGTGAGAGAGGCCCCAGGCCTGGCTACTCCCTTTGGGGGCGTGTCCCCTAGGCCCCGCCCCCTGGCGCCAGCTGAGTTTAGCGGCGCCACATTCGTCCCGAGACAGAACCGCTGCCACTGTCGTCTCTGACTGCGCTTGGCCGAGTCCCACCGTCATCACCATGCCCCGGGGAAGCCGCAGCGCGGCCGCCCGGCCAGCCAGGTGTGAGCAGGACAGGGGCCGGGTGGGGAGAGGGCTAGGAAAGCGGGGGCACTCCCCCACCAGGGCGTAATAGTGTGACCTTGGCGACTGCTACGCCATCTTGGTGGGGGGAGGGGCGGGGTGCTGCAACCACGTGTCTAAGACTGTGGTCGCCCACCCTCTGGGGGGAGGAGGGGAGGGTTCGTGCCCGGGAGTCGAAGGCCCTTGGGGGTCCCAGTTCCGGGGTCCGGCTGGGATTGACTCTACGTCTCCCCCCACACGCAGCCGCACCGCCGCGCCCTCAGTTCACCCGCCAGCGCACCCGCCGCCGTCTGCTGCTGCACCGGCCCCCACCCAGTCAGGCCAGCCCGGCCTGATGGCGCAAATGGCGTCCACTGCCGCTGGCGTGGCTGTGGGCTCGGCTGTGGGACACGTCGTGGGTAGCGCCCTGACCGGAGCCTTCAGCGGAGGGAGCTCAGAGCCTGCCCAGCCTGCCACTCAGCAGGTGAGCTGCGGGCTCAGGAGAAACTGAGGCCCGCTTCTCTCAAGGCCACATAGTAAGGAGCTGCTGGAATGTCCATGAAGGAGTGCTGTGGCGTGTTCAGAGCTGCCTCAGGCCCAGGACTTTTCCCAAGAAGGGTCTTATTCCTCTGCTGTTGGCCTCCTGTCACTCACAGGCAGGCTCTCCTAGTCCCTTCCCTGAGGCCAAGGTCCCTAGACTCCCAGGGATACACCAGCACTTTAAAAATGGAAAAGCCAAAGTCCTTAGCGGTTCAGAGACTGGCCCAAGGTAACCCAACCTAGTGGAGGGGGGGGATGTTGAAGTTCTGAGTCCCTGCTCTCCCTGTTCCCAGGTTCTGCCCTGTAGACCTTGCATCCCAAGGGCAAGGGGTAGCCAGCGACTCTGGGCCTGTTTCCTATTGGCTTATCCCCTACTGGGTGCCCCACCAGTCCTGAGCCACATGCGGCTTAGTGGCAGCGTCAGGGGTCATGAAGATCAGTATGGCTGAGGCTGGAAGCTACTGGTACTTGTGCAGGTGGGGCTTATACTCCAAGAGTACAAGCACAACGCCATGCTTTTCCAGAGCCTTCTCCCACCTCTCAGGCCCTACATGCCCAGTGAGCCCATTATGAGGCAATTGGGAAATGCCGTCTATACCAGCACTAGCATCGGCTGAGCGGGTTTGACAGGGCTGTGGGCTCCTTCTGTTTCACAGAGGGAACAGCTGAGTGTAGACAGGGTAGGCTGCCAGGGATCCCAGGGGCACCTGGGCTGGGGGTGTGGGGAGGGTCAGGCAGCCCCCAGCTTTGGAACCCACTTCTGGGTGGCAACCTGGAGCTGACATTGCTGCCTCCTGTGCCATACCCTAGGCCCCCATCCGCACTGGCCCCCAGCCCCTGCAGATGGGGCCCTGCGCCTACGAGATCAAGCAGTTCCTGGACTGCTCCACCACTCAGAGTGACCTGTCCCTGTGTGAGGGCTTCAGTGAGGCCCTGAAGCAGTGCAAGTACAACCACGGTGAGCAGCTCCTGACTGGGGCAGGATTGGGAGGGGCAGTCCCTCTTCCTGAACCTGCAGGCTGACCCTTAGCCTGTGCCACCCCTCCCTCCACAGGTCTGAGCTCGCTGCCCTGAAGAGACTGGTGTAGACCGGTGCAGATCCATGAGCCAACCCTGCACCCACCTTCACCCCTTCACCAACAGCCAGACCACTATGTCAGATTGTACCCATGTAGCTGGGGTTGGAAGTGAGGAGGGGGTTTCTCACCCCGCAGATGACCGGAGACGCAAATGTGCAATTAAAAGAGTTTATTTTAGACCATAGCCTGCTGTGTGCCCTCTCATTTAGTTTATCTGCTGGGGTGGGGTCAGGGGGCATGGATGGATGTCCAACGGAGGGGTGGAATGTTTCACTTTATGCCAGCATCCTGGGTGTGGGAGGGGGAGGAGCCCTGTTGTAATTTGATGACCTTGACAATCCAAATAGGGATGAGTCGTTAGCAGGGACCCCAAGGGCACCTGACTCTAGGTGCTGGAATCCCTGGATAAACCTGTTGTCTCCCCCTGTCAGGGTTGCTTGCCCCCACACCTTTGGATCCCCTTCTCTGCACCCACGTCTTAGGGGCCCCCCCTTGGTGGCCTCACGTCCGGTCTGTGACCTTGCCCCTCTTGCTGATGGCAGCTTCTCAGTAATTCCAGATTCTGCAAGAAGAATGCCACTGGGCTGCTATCTGTTTGGGCCTGATCACACATGGCAGAGGTCATGGCCAACCCCCTTGGATCTGAGTCCAGCTCAGCCACTTGGCTGTGATGTGCCAGGTCACAGGGCCTGCTGAAACAGAGAAGCAGGCCCTTCGATCCCAGGGCAGACCTCACTATCATGTGCTCTGTGCTACTGCCTTCCTTGAGTTCACCAGCTCTGTGTTGAGCACCTACTGTGTGCCAGGCCCTATTCGATATATCTGGGGGCACTGAGGATGTTCCTGCCCTTGGGCGTTTATATCCCAGTGGAGTGGTGGGAATGTCTCTTGGTGCACTGTGTTCTAGCTTGTATGTACTTCTGCGTGTGGGTTTTCTGGGGGAGGGGGGTTTGGGGTCTACCTCTCAGCACACATAAGTCTGTTCCCTGGGACTTCTGGGTGTGACCATTCCTCCAGGTGTCTATGTCTCCTCCTTACCTGGCTCCTGGCCCCAGCTAACGGGTCCTGGATGGCAGGGAGCCCTTCCTTCGTGGCTTTGAAAGGGGGCCTTGCTCCTGGTGGTCACGCCGAGTGCTCGTGCGCCTCCTCCGGCCATCACTTGTGGGTTGTAGGCCTGACAGGCAGCGAAGCTCCTCTGGAAGGCCCAAGAAGCCCTACCTATGGGAGCTGGGGAGAAGGCGCACCCTCCCCCTGGGGCTGTAGCGTGAGACTCACCTGCGAGCTCTGGACACTGGTCATCCAGGTTCTCCAGTAAGGACTCGTAGCGGGTGGGTGCCCCATCCTCCCCCTCTGTGGAGGGAGTAAGACCGATTCCTGACTGGCCTGGTGGTTCCCACCTTCACCTCTCACTCGACTTATTTGCTGGCCCTGGCTGGGGTCAACAAGGCATTGGATGGGAAGGGTCAAGGCTAGGTCCTGGCCAAAGTGGGGGGCTGGCCTGGGCCTTGGGTGGTCTCGGACTGCTGTCCCCCTCTCACATCCCAACATAACTCCAAGGGGAAATCTTGGGCCCCACTTACTGATGATCTGCACAAGGACATAGGTCCCACGCTCCTGCAGCAGGGGGCTGCCCATGGAAGGGGCCTGGGAAGCCCCCTCATCCAGGCTCACCAGGTGCCCATCCTCAGCCAGGAGGGCAATGGTCGCTGGGAGGGCAGGGAGGAAGGCAAGGCAGGGGCTGGTACCTCTGCCTGGGGACCCTTGGCCCCTCCTCCCCAGCACCCCTCCATGCCCTCTCACCATCTGGGGGCACCTGCCCCCTCTGCCTCAAGTGGGCAGTGAGTGTCACCAGGCTGCACCAAGTGTTCACCAGCTCCCAGCAGCCAGCTGTAGGGACAGGGCAGAGGTGAGTGAATGGGACCCTCTGCTTCTCCCAGTCTGGGACCATCTGTCTCACTTTCATCTCTTCTGTAACCTGAGGAGGGAACAGGTCTCCAAGATTAAGACTGTACCCTCCTCCACCCATCTTCTGAGATGTCAGTGACCAGGGCACATAGCTCATGCCTCCTGCATTGGGTTCCCCCCTCCCACTCCAGCACCGCCTCTACACAGGACTTCTCTCCAGCACCAGACCCCCCCATTCTCCTACCCCAGCCCCACCTGCCACCAGAAGTCCGGAAATCTTTAAGTGTGGCTAGAGCTTTAGGTGCCTAATGTGCCCTGAAGCTTGAAGACAACTGACTGAATTAGAGACTGTGTAATTTAACAACATGCCCTGTGGTGGTGTGGTGGGTGTTCTCCTAGAGGAGCCCACTGGAATTTCCCACAACCCAGTCACCAGTGTTTCCCCTCAAGGGACTCCAAGCATTTGCTCTGTCTTCTCATAGAGCTGTTTCCCTAAACCCCCCATCCCCTTACCCAAGTGCACCCCCCTTCCTCACACTGCCTCCCCACCCTCCCCTAGGGCGGAGGAAAGCAAGCCTCTGAATGTACTCTCCCCCTACCTGTCTCAGGACAGGGGATCCCGCTTACCTCCAAACATCACTGTGATAAACATGCCTCTGCAGGGGAGAGTAGACAGATGTGTGGGCTTCGATCCCCTAACCTCCAACTTCCTGACTAAGGAAGGATCTGGGGCTGAGATCTATTCTGGGTGGGGCCCTGCCAGGAAACGTGCATACGTGTTTGGGAATGGGTGGGTGGATCCAGGCTTAGGTTCTTGCTTGGCCACCGTTGGAGCTGGGCTCCACCAGCCTAGAGGGGTCCCTGCAGCTAGTTCAGGACGCCTGGCCTCCTCTTCCTCCTGCTTGCTGGGTCAGAGCAGCTTTCTGGGTCAGAGCAGCGGGAAAGCAGACTGAGGCCCTCCCAGCTTCCAATCTGGTCTCCATGGCAGTGGGAGCTGCCAAGTCGTCTAGGCAGCAAATGCCTTCCCCACAGTATCCTGGTAACAGGATCTGGGGCTGGAGTATGGGCACTCCCTAAGGCAGGGCTAGAGTGCGGGCTCAAGCCTTGTAGTCCACGGATGGCCCAAGACCACATCTCCCCACCAGTACAGACAGAGCTCGCAGGCTGAAAGTGGGAGAGGACCCTGTCCCTGGGAAAACTCCCAACTATGAGCTGCGGCCATGGCCAAAGCCTGGCATCCTCACCAACCTTGCTCTCCCCTACCTTCTCAAGGCCCTCTTCCCTGTGCTGTCTTTGCTCTCCTTTCCCTCTCTGCTTTCCTCCACACCTTCAGCCTCCTCTCTCTTTCCTTCTCTCCTTGTTCCATCAAGTTTATTGAGATATGATTTACAGTAAAATTCACTTAAAGTGACAAAAATCTGACAAATCGCATAGAGCCACCACCACACTGGGGAGGCAGATCATTTCCCTCACCCCCAAAATTCCTTTATGCCCCGTTGTAGTCAATGCCGGCCCCTGGCAGCCACTGCTCTGTGTTCCGCCCCTGCCTTTTCCAGAATTGTATACAACAAATCATAGAGCATGGAGCCTTTTGAGTCTGGCTTCTTTCACTTAGCACGAGATTCACTCAGGTTGTTGTGTGTATCAATGGCTCATTCCTTCTTATTGCTGAGAAAGGTCCCATTGTCTAGATGTGCCACAGTTTGTTGATCCACTCACCTATTGTTTGGATTGTTTCCAGTTTTTTGCCATTAGGATTAAAGCCAGTACAGACATTTTTGTGCAGGTAGGTTTTTGTGTTTCTGCGCCAATCCGTGCCCATCCTTTAACTTTTTCTCTCATTTTCTCTATCATCTTCTTTCCTTCTTCCCCCTAGCGCCTTTCCCTCTGTCTCTACCTCTTCGTTTCTGTCTCCTGCCCCTTCTCCATGAGCCTCTACCAGACCCCTTCAGCCAGGATGCCAGGTAGGTGTCTGGAGCAGGCTCCCATCCTGTGCCAGCTCCCTTTTCCCCAAGGTTTTAGAAATGCCTTCTCCCCCCTTCCCCCACAGTAATTAGGCTGTTTGTCCTGCCCTCTGGGCCACTGAGGCAAGAGGAGGACTGGATCCTCCATGCGGCTCCCCCAGCACCACACTCTGCCTCTGTTTCAGCACTCAGCTCAGTGCTTCCACCTGTAGAAAGGGGGTTAAGAACATGACTCAGCAAAGTCCTTGTGAGGATTAAATGTGGTAACACTTTGTTTATTTAGTAGGCTCCACGTCCAATGCAGGGCTTGAAGTCACAACCCTGAGGTCAAGAGTTGCATGTTCTACCAACTGAGCCAGCCAGGCACCCTTTAAAACATATTACCTTGAGGGGCGCCTGGGTGGCTCAGTCGGTTAGGCGGCCAACTTCGGCTCAGGTCATGATCTTGCGGTCCGTGAGTTCGAGACCCGCGTCAGGCTCTGTGCTGACAGCTCAGAGCCTGGAGCCTGTTTCAGATTCTGTGTCTCCCTCTCTCTGACCCTCCCTGTTCATGCTCTGTCTCTGCCTGTCTCAAAAATAAATAAAAACGTTAAAAAAAAATTAAAACAAAAAAAATATTACCTTGGTCTCAGCATGCACAAAGTACACATTCAGTACTGTAGAAACAGGTAGTGTTTCCCCCGAAACTATTTAAACACAGGACACTTTCTTCTCGGGACAGCACTATCTCTGGGACTTGTGTCCTGCAGAACACAGCTCAGGAGTGGCTGCAACCAGATTCCAGAAGAATGGCCACTCCGAGCCCGGGAGCCTCAATTCCAACAACCATCATGGTTGTCCCAAGAGTTCATCTTCAGTGCGACCAAGGAGGAATCAGATGTTGAGTGTCTTAGAGATGCCCTGAGGAGTTGTTAGGAATGGGATGGGGCCCATTGGAGGTAAAGTTCTCCCAAGGGAACTCTCTAGTCTTTGAGTTAATAAGAGTGCACTGTTCTAATTACTTTTATTATTTAGGTATGGCAAGGCCAGCAGACCAGGAGGTTGCCATTGAGAAGATAGTTTGTTCCCTGCAGATCTCTAAAGGAGGGGGCATGCCGCACCAGAGGGGAACACATGGGGAAACACCCAGTAAGTCAGCAGGCAGAGGGAGAGGGGAAGTCTTTACTGGTGGTTTCTGAGGCTAAGAACAGAGGAGGAAGGGTAAGCAGGCTCCAGATTGGCTAGTTTGAATAATTTCAGGGCTCTGGGGCATAGGGACTTTCCCTGGATGTCAGGTACCTGGCCCTGGGTGACTAAGGCAGGATGATATTGCCCCACGGTATGAGAGCCATAGAGGAGGTGGTTCCGGGTGTGGGCTCTGGATTGGTTTGCATCTGATAAGTGCCTGCATTATTTCAGGAACTGGCTAGCTCTGAGAGGGTCAGTGAGTCCCTCCAAGGTCAGCAAGGCCCCAAATGTCAAAGCATCAGAACACAGAAAATGCAAGGCATGATTAATAGACACACCGTCCCCGGCACTGAGCAAATAAATCCCGTCTGCTTCTTCCCAACCTTTGGGCTCGCACTATACTCATCTTCATTTTCCTAATGAGGAAACTGAGCCACAGAGAGGGCAAGGAACTTGCCTGAATTCATGAAGATGAGGAGGTTCTGAGATTCAAGTTTGAATACCAATTTGGGAAGTCAGCTCCCCTCTGTCTGGCAAATTAAAGGGATTGACCATGTCAAGTGCTGGCAAGGATGTCCCTGGAACTCTCCTACCTGCTGGTGGCAGTGCAGATTGGTACAACCATGTTGGGAACACTTATGTAATCTACTAAAGCGAAATGTACATGTTCCCTATCACCAGGCAACTCCAGCCCCAGGTGTCTACCAGAAGAAATGAGAGCACAGGTGCACCAAACACATTGACAGGGATGTTCACAGCGGTTTTAGTTGTAATAGCTAAAGACTGGAAAGCACCCAAATGTCTAATAACAGGAGAATGGTATAGTCATCAAGCCATACACTTAAAATCTGTGAACTTTACCTCATGTGAGTTACACCTCAATAAAAAAGGATCTACCTGCTATAACACACAAACGGGCATATGTGTAGATTTCCAGGCTCCTCGGAAGTCCCTGTGGGCCAGGACCCCAAAGACATCTGGGAAGATAGGGCCAGCTGTTGGGCTCCAGCTACTATACCCCCAAGTCCCCACCCCCAGTTAATGGGCTGATTTGCATGCCTTGTCATGGTCCAGGGGCTTCCCCTGCCTGTGCTCTGAAGCACCTGGAACACTCCCAACAGAACAACTCCTGTCTGCCTCCTTGCCTCTGGCCATGGCCTGCTGGCATCTGGCCCTTCTTCTGACTGGGGCCCTCCTGTCAGGTGAGCTCTCCCTAGGCCTAGCTCACCTGGGGTGGGGTGGGGTGGAACTGGCTCCAGAAGGCCCCTGCAAGGAAACAAGTCAATGTGGGCAGTGGGAGGGTTCTAGAAAAGGCATTAAGGTGGAGGGGAGAACTGGCTATAGATGGCTCTGCCCTAGACCTGGGGCAAGTCACATATCTGTATGGGCCTCAGTTTCCCCATTTGTGAATGACGAGATTGTTAGGATCCCTTTGGATTCGGATTCTTTGGGGTCTTTTTAGTTTTTCACAGGGGAAGCTACCCTACAGAGCCTCAGGGACAACCTATCCTTGAGAAGATTCCCAGCAGCCAGTTGTCTGAGGTTGAGTTGATGGGTGGGACAGCCCAGGAGCCTTCCTGGTGGTGGTTAATCCATAGCCAGGGTTTGGAAGAGCCAGTGTGACTGAGGGGTAGGGGTCTGCAGGGCAAGGAATGGGGGTGGGCAGCAGAAGGACCCAGAGGCCACCAGTCCCACCCTCTGAACTCTAGGCGCTCAACTGAACACAGATCCTTGGGAACATACCACCAATGAGGATTTAACAGTCACCAACTCTGTGCCCCATCCAACCTCGAATCCATGGCACTGGGCTATGGGCCTTTTGGGAGTCAGTCTCCGTGGAGCCTTCACAAGGTTGGGGCAGGAAAAAAAGGAGCCCATGTCAGGCCTGGGCCCATGGGTGTCTCTCTCTCTCTCTCTGTCTTTCAACCAGGCTTGGCCCAGCCGGATGCACTGCTTGTCTTCCCAGGTCAAGTGGCCCAACTCTCCTGCATTCTCAGCCCCCGCCATGCCATCATTGGGGAGTACGGCGTGTCTTGGTATCAGCAACGGGCAGGCAGTGCCCCCCGACACCTCCTCTACTACCGCTCAGAGGAGGACTACCACCGGCCCCCTGACATCCCTGACCGCTTCTCAGCAGCCACGGACGCCGCCCACAACACCTGCATTCTGACCATCAGCCCTGTGCAGCCTGAGGATGATGCAGATTATTACTGCTCTGTGGGTTACATATCCTAGGAATGGACTGTGGGATGAGCGCCTCTTGACTGCCTCTCACATCTGCACCCTGACCTTGGGCCCCTAACTTTCTCTGAATCTTGATTTTCCTCCTCTGTAAGATGGGTTAGTAATATTAAACGTGAACAATTAACTATTCTGAGAACCATGAGATCCCTGCTGAAAGAGTGACTGGGAGTGTGGGGGTAGGGATACAGGGGATTGTTACAGAAGAGGAAGCACCTGAGACCCTTGAGGCGGGCCCAGCCTCTCCACTGGCCCCCAGGGGACTCAGCCTGGTGGCCTGGGCTTCCTGTTACCTGAGGAACTGGAGAAAGAGAAAAAGGAACCAGCCCTTGCTGCTACTAGTTCCGCATGGCAGGTTGTGGTCCAACACTCAAGGGGTGACTGGACTGGGTTCTCATGGAGCCCAGGCTGTTAGCTTGGAGGGCGGAGGGGAGCTCCTGCCTACTCCCTGACCGGGCAGGGAGGCAGGGGTGTGTGTGTGTGGGGGGGTGGTACTCAGAGGCACCTGTGGACCAGGTCAGACGGTACTGAACACAGGTGGGCAGCATCTCTCCTGTCAGGAACATGTGTTCCACTGGTCTCCAGTGATAGGGGCTATGCCCCTCTCCCCACTCCAGGCTCTCCCACAGGCAGGGAAGGCCTTACCTGAGCAACTGAGCCCAACAGGGAGCACTGGGTAGAGGGGCAATTCTTATCAGAAGCGGAGCTGAGCGTCTGGGTATGGGTTGGGCGGGTGGGGTTCAGGCACATACTCCTCTTCCATCCTGGTTCCCCCAACAGGCGCCTTATGTCCGGAGGTCATTCATCCCTCAGATGTACTGGAGTTGGGGGTCTCCAGGGAACAGAGAGAGTCCCGCCCACACTCCCAGCCTCCTGGGTCCTCACTGGGCCACTTCTCCATATCTCAGTCTCTATTGGTACCGGCTGGGCAATCAAGACCAAGGCTACTTAGGGAGGGTGAATCAAACAGGCCCCCTGGGCCTGTGCGGGGTGACGGGCTCCACAGCTTTGGGAACACCTTCCCTTCTCCCGAAAACCCCAGCCGCCCCAGTGTCCTCTGGCTTGCCCCCACCCCCAGGGCAAGTGCAGCCGGAACTCGACCCTCGGCCTGTGGCTTTAGGCCGGCCTGCCCCTCCCGGTCTCAGTTTCCTCTTCTTCACTCCCGCCAACGCCTGCCCAGCTGTTTCCCCCACGACCAGGAAGCGCTTTGAGAACGGACCCGGGACCATTCCCAGACCTTGTGCCCCGAGCCAGAGCGGCTAAGCGGAGGACTACAGGCACGACGGGACCACCGAGACGCGAGGACCTCCACGCGGCCTAGAGCGGTCCCGGAAGTGCCCGCGGGCGGGGGCGGGGCTCCGGGCGCTCGGGCCGCCGCGGGCTCCGCGTCAGCAGCCGCCACGGAGTGAGGCCGGGTCGGCCGCGGGTTGGAGCAGCTCAGGTACGGCCCCGCCCCGCCCGCCCGCGGCCCCGCCCCGGCCCAGGTGAGCGGCCCCGCCCCGACCCAGGTGAGTGGCTCCGCGTCAGCCAGTGTGACCACCTGCCCCTCCGGTGGCCCCGGGTGTGGGCGTCCCCCATCGGCTGGAAGCATGTAGGGGTTCCAGCGTCGCCGCTTGCGTGGCGTGTGCGTGTCCGCGGCCGCTCGAGGGCCTCCAACAAGGAAACCCTGACCGGTCCTAGGGTATCCCCAGTGCCCAGGCCCTGGGGGCTCCCTGAAGCATAGGGTGACAGATGAAAGAGGAGCCGAAGAAGACCCTGAGAGAGGTGGGAAGATGGGGTCCCAGACCTTTGGATCTTCGGCCCAAAAATATTTAAAACATTGTTGAGGACAGTTAAAGGATTGCCAACTTTCTAAACAGTGGGAACGTCAGCGTATAGGTGGTCCGTAATGGGAATGGAAAACCCCTAAGGAGGGAACTTTAGAAACACCAGGATTTAACAGGTGGGTGGAGGAAGAGTTGCAATCACAGATACCCAAGAAAAAAATAACCAGAAAGCATTAAAACTAGGGGGGAAACTTTCAGAAACGAAGGGAATAAAGCAGGGGGTGGGAGTGGGGTGGGTGGTTCAAAACCTTGAGGTGTTCAGGTAGTAGGCAAGGTGGGTTTAATGAAGGGGTGGACCTGTATTATCACATCTCCCAGGTTTTCAAGAGAAAGACTGAAACTTACTGAGTTTTCAGTATTGGCAGCTAAGTCAAACAAAAAGGAAAAGTTCAACTCTTTGCGAGCCAAGCAAAACGCGTCTGTGGCAGGATCCCCAGGCTGCCAATTTGCAACTTCTGAAATGAAGGGTTTTGAGAAGGGAGCTATTGGTGAGCATTGCCAAAAGGGGTGGGAAAGTGAAGTCTGAGAAGAGAGGGATTGGCCATAAGGAGGTCATTGGATGCGACAGCTGAAGACCCTGCTGAAACTGGAAACTTGAAATCTGTCTCAGTGCAGTACACAGTCGTATGATTTTCTTTGGCAACATTTAACATCTTAGGAGGAATTGATGGAGGAGGTTGGTAGTTGGCAGCTGGTTACAGCAGGGCAAAGAGGTGAGGAACGTGATGCTGGTCAGAGTCCATAGCTGTTAGATCCACGATAGAGTCTAAGCTAGACAGGGAAGGGTGGACTAAAAGAGGAGAACCTGGGTGAAATTGTTGGGTTGTTTGACCTGATGAGGTGGATTTAGAGAGCCTGAAGTACTGGAGATTATGGTTCCTGAAGAGGAGGGGGAGGGGAGTTAAGTGGTCAAAGAATTTTTGAGAATCCTTCAGTTCTATGCTTCTTTTTACACCGGGCTTTTTTACCCCCTGGAAATTCATTTAAAACAAAACAAAACAAAAGTTTCCAAATAGAAATGAGTTCCATCGTGACTATGCTGATTAATTTAGCATGGCATGTCTTTTGAGCAGCTCATTCTCCACGCTTCAGTGTACCGTTAATAATACCTGGGTATAGAGTTGGTGAGGGTTAAATGCAAATGTGCCTGTAGAAGATCTAGTGGTGCCTAGCACATAGTAGATGCTCAGTAAACATGAGCTGTTATCATTATCCTGGTACCTGGGGAGATTCCCTTCAGCTTGCACAGCAATTTCGGAAGGGGATCCTGAGGGGCTCCCTCAGAGGCCACCATAGTGGGATGTGGGGTGCCGAATGGGCAGTCCCTATGGAAACAACCCCTGTTGATCGGAATCATTGTTTTTCTTTCTTTATTGGTATCTCCCATACAATTTATTTAAATAAAGAGTTCTTTGCTCCCTTCCCCCCAAAAAGTGTGACCATCAGTTCTAGCACAAAAACAGATGGCTTTCCCTCCATTCAGTCATGTATTCAACAAATGTGTGTGGAGCTTGTCCTGTTGTGCTGGGGGCGCTGGCGATTCCAAAATGAAAGAGCACAGTACCTTGCCCTCAGGGAGCTCTCAGGCAGTGGTGGCGAGAGTCCTGATGGCAGATGTTTGCCATCCACGGCCATGGGTGTTGTGAGAGACATGTGCACTGAGCTCCATGGGCCACTCAGGGGATGTGCTGAGATTGTGAGAGTTGTAGGGTGAGTAAAGACATTTGGACTGAGTCTGGGAAGATGAGCCAGTGGCAGTGTGAGAAGGGAGCAGGATCAGTTAGGAGGAGGAAGCAGCAGGAGCCTGGGTGGCTCAGTCAGTTGAGTGTCTGACTTCGGCTCAGGTCATGTTCTCGCAGCTCATGAGTTCGAGCCCCGCATCAGGCTCTGTGCTGACAGCTCAGAGCCTGGAGCCTGTTTCAGATTCTGTGTCTCCCTTTCTCTCTGTTCCTCCCTGCTCACGCTCTGTTTCTCTCTCTGTGTCTCTCAAAGATAAATAAACATTTAAAAAAAAAAAAGAAGAGGAGGAGGAGAAAACAGCAACTAGGAGTATGTGGAAGGAGAGGCTACAGATGGTGCTGGAAGGGCCAGGTGTGAAGGGCTTTGTGAAGGATTTGAGCTGCTATAAGATCCCAAGACAGACGATCAGGCCTGTGTTTGGGGATTTGACACTGGTGTCAGTGTAGAGAACTACCAGAGAGAGGGAGTAGAAGCTGGAGGTAGGTGGTCAGTAGTGAAATACTCCTGGGGAGTTGCATTGAGGCCTGAGCTGTGACCTGACAGACAGGCAGAGACTTCTTAATAAAGCTTCAGGAAATGGACAGACTAGACATATGGGGTGAGAGAGGGAGAAGTCTAGGCTGACTCCCAGTGTTGTGGCTTAGGCTCCTAGCTGGAGGGGGTGCCGCCAACCTAGTGTAGGAGGGAAGTCTGTGCCCTTCCTCAGAACCCCCTACCCCCAACATCCTCCAGTAGCTAGAATCTTGCCCCTTTTCCACAATGGCTCTACTTCCTATTCTAGTCCACCTTTCAGAACAACCTCAGCCTTTCGATTCTAGGCACTACAATGTGGCACTTGATTCTGTCTTTTGTAGTTTTTTTTTAATTTTGTATTTTTTTTTTTGAGAGAGAGAGAGAGAGAGAGAGAGAGATTGTGAGTGGGGGAGGGGCAGAGAGAGAGAGAGACAGGGACAGAGGATCCAAAGTGGGCTCTATACTGACAGCAGCAAGCCCGATGCGGGGCTCTAACTCACAAACTGTGAGATCATGATCTGAGCCGAAGTTGGACGCTCAACAACTGAGCCACTCAGGCACCCCTGTAGTTGTTTCTGAGAAATCAAACTGTTTGCTAATTCAGTGGGGATCATCTCCAGGGCAAAATTGTATCTTCTGCTTATTTTGTCATGTCCACGATAGAATATGACACAGGAAGGAGGCACTTACTAGGTACTTGATTTGCAGACTTGACAATGTCCCTTGGTTTCTTTTCAGATTTGCAGACTTGACAGTGTCCCTTGGTTTCTTCCCAGGTGACGAGAACAGTAAGCGTGTCCTTAAGAAGACCATCTTTTAAGAAATACAGTCATTGGGGGTGATACTAGATTCACAATGGAGGTTCCCCCAGCAGCCAAGCTTGGTGAGACCTTTGTGTTTGAGGATGGGTTAGAGATGCAGCAAGAACTTTTCCCAGAGGAGGACCTGGGGGACCCTTTTCTTCAGGAAAGAGGCTTAGAGCAAATGGCTGTTATTTATAAGGAGATCCCTCTTGGGGAGCAGGACGAGGAACATGACGATTATGAGGGCAATTTTAGTCTGTGCTCAAGCCCTGTTCAGCATCAGAGTACCCCCCTGGTACACAGACCCCAGGACGATGACCTTTTCGGCCAAACCTTCCTCCAGAAATCAGACCTTAGTATGTGTCAGATAATCCACAGTGGAGAAGAACCCAGTAGACGTGACTGTGAACAGGTGAGCAGGGTGCACGCAGGACCTAACGAACCTCACAGAACTGCGCCGCCAGCAAAACCCTACGCGTGTCGGGAATGTGGGAAGGCCTTCAGCCAGAGCTCCCACCTTCTCCGGCACCTGGTGATTCACACCGGGGAGAAGCCCTACGAGTGTTGTGAGTGCGGGAAGGCCTTCAGCCAGAGCTCACACCTTCTCAGACATCAGATAATCCACACGGGGGAGAAGCCCTACGAATGCCGGGAATGCGGAAAAGCCTTTCGCCAGAGTTCAGCCCTCACGCAACACCAGAAAACCCACACTGGGAAGAGACCATACGAGTGTAGGGAATGTGGGAAAGATTTCAGCCGGAGCTCAAGTCTCCGAAAACACGAGCGCATTCACACGGGTGAGAAACCTTATCAGTGTAAGGAATGCGGGAAATCCTTCAACCAGAGTTCCGGCCTGAGCCAGCACCGCAAAATCCACACCCTGAAGAAGCCTCACGAGTGTGAGCTCTGCGGGAAAGCCTTCTGTCACAGGTCCCACCTGATTCGGCACCAGCGGATTCACACGGGGAAGAAACCTTACAAATGTGAAGAGTGCGGGAAGGCCTTCAGCCAGAGCTCCAACCTCATTGAGCATCGGAAGACGCACACTGGCGAGAAACCCTACAAATGCCATAAGTGTGGTAAGGCCTTCAGCCAGAGCTCATCCCTCATCGAGCACCAGCGCATCCACACCGGGGAGAAGCCCTATGAGTGCGGCCAGTGTGGGAAGGCCTTCTGCCACAGCTCGGCACTGATTCAGCACCAGAGAATCCACACAGGGAAGAAACCCTACACGTGCAACGAGTGCGGCAAGGCCTTCCGGCACAGGTCAGCCCTGATCGAGCACTATAAAACCCACACCAGAGAGAAGCCCTATGAGTGTAACAAATGCGGCAAGTCCTTCAGGGGAAGCTCACACCTTATTCGGCACCAGAAAATCCATGCTGGGGAGAAGCTCTAGAAAGAAGAGCTCACACCAAAGCTCGAAACCCTTTCCCAGATGGAGCCCACACCCCATAGCTTTGTCTCTGAGACCCCACCCACCCCCCTGATCCCAGGGCCAAAAAGAAATGTGTCAACCTAGGTGCTCCTGGCCATCCACACTAGCAGCAAGGCCCCCTCTTGGCCAGCTGGGTGCCCCACACTCAGCAGGTTTACGGAGTGGAAGGGAGGGTAAACTAACAGGAAAGCTGCTAAAATGGAGGCCTGCCCAAAAAAGAGAGCTGGCCTTCGATTGTTCATGTTTGACTCCCAAGCCCAGGAGACTGAATTTTGCCGTCTCTTCACCTTTGCCAAAATTCAGAAGAATGAACGCCAGAGGGAGAAAGTTGAGTTAAACACACAAGAATGTCAGGTGAACTCTTAACATCAGGTTGCAGTTTGGCACTTTTAGAAGACAGAACTCTGCTCATAGTCCAAATCAGCTGAAGGAAGATGAATCCAAAAGTAGATACATTAGCAGCAAAATGGAATCTTTCACCTGGCTTGGGCATTGGTGGGGACAACCGAAACAGGCTACAGAAGAAAGGGAGGGTCTGGAAGCATTCGTTCTGGGGTTGAGGGAGAGGGTGGCAAGTCCCTGGTGTGGTGTTTTAATCTCTGTTCTGGATTAGAGTGAGGTTGGTCTTTGGCAGGTGGCTCTTTCACAAGAGGGTTGAGGTTTCATTCCATGGGCCAGAGGATGTTTGACACTGCCTTGGACTTAGCCTGGCACAAGGAATTAGTGCCCTCCAGTGATAAGCCCTCTATAAGACCCAGGGCCCCCAAGACCATGGTATGCCTTGGTTGTCAGCAGGGCCCGTGTCTGGTCTGGCATCCAGTGCTGGGGGACATAGGAAGCAGGGCGATTCAGTCAGAGGTCCCAGTTCTGCCCCTCCTATTCCAGTGGCCTTGAGGAGGCTCCAAGGCTCGGTTTCCCTATCTGTGAGATGCGGATGGTGGGACCTGGCCACGTACCTCTGAGGGTCCAAGGCTCCTGTTCACCATGAAACCACCCATGAAAGTGCTTTGGTAACTGGCAGTTGAAGGTGGGTGGAGACCCAGTGTGACCCTTGTCCCACTCAGAGATCTGAAAGGCAACCCTGTCTGTTTTCCAGGTGGCCGGGCTCACAGCAGGCCCTCCCATTAAACCAGAGCTTAGGCTTTCCTTCACTCCCTCCAGCCTGCACCCTGGGCGTTGTCCCAGACAGGGACCCTTCCCAGATGCCATCCTGAACCTCCCCCTAGCAGCAGCATGGTCTGTGTGGCCTGTGTCCCATGCTTCGGGCTGTCCTCTCCCTGGGTATTGTTCCAGAAGTACCATCGCCTGTGTCCTGCCAAGACCAACTCAGTCGGCATCCCCAGAGGAGGGGCTCAGACAGGGGTGTGTTTTTAAAGCTCCCCAGATGATTAGGGCATTCCGGCCAGGGTGTGAACCCTCTGCTGGGCATCCGTGCAACCCTAGCATCACCCAAATGTCAGGCCTGCTTGCCATGAGCAGAGCTTGAAGGTGGCAGTTCTGTCTCAGTCCCCATGCCTCCCATCCCCCAGGAATGGGCTCAGGCAGTGCTGTGTCTGGCTAGTTGGTAAGTGTCCCAGGTGCTCAGGCCTTCATTTGGCCACTGGGATCTCTTTGGTGCTACTTTCCCCCAGGCTCCTCAGAGGCAGTCTGAGCTATTTTGAAGTTTTCCAAAAGTTGATGGCTGGAATCCCATAACCCCATCGTGGTAATGCTGGCTATTTCAGCTAATCAAGGGGTTGGCTTGGCAGTTATGTATAGTTTTGATGAATAAAAATGAGCAAGTCATAGTTGTTAGTAAGTGGGACTTGGCAGGCTAGGAATTTTCAGAGGACTGGTCTCCAGCTAGGGGATCACAGTGGGAGTCCCAGCCTGGAGAACAGCAGTTGCTCCCGTCCAGCTTCTCCTTGAAGGAGTGTGTGAAACATAGCACCGCCAGTTGGTCAGGTCCCCTAGAACCTGCTGTACCACTAGCTAGACTGGCCTGACTGGGTGGCCCCTGGCTGTCTCCTGCAGGTGGCCTGTGCTGAGGGTCTTCAGTCATTTACCATGAGTGCAGAGAGAATCAAGACGCCTGTTCAGCGTGGGTGGGGCAGCAGACCCCTCCCCTAGATCTACCTCCTCGGCCATCCCCTATTTGGCCTTACCTGGGCTCGGCCTCAGCCTCTCCTTATTGGGCAGTCATCTGGGTCCTACCTTTGCTGTCTCTTTCCGTGTGCCTCTGCACACCCCAGCCAAATCGATTTTCTTAAAGCATCTCTTTGCACATGTCACCACTCTCCTTAAAACCAACCTGCAGGGGCTTTTCTGCACATAAGCCCCCATTTCAGCCAACCTGGTTTGCCCCTTCTGAACAAACCACAGGGAGTTCCTGGCCACCCGCCCAGATGCTCTCTCCACTCCCAGCTTCTCTCCACTGTTTTTATGCGGTTCTTGCATTTTGGAATATGCACTTTGTCCTCCTCCTCCCCCCACCCTCTCCTCCCTCCTTTCAACAATTTATGGAACGTGGGGAATGAGACCCCCTTTCTGAATAGTTGACGGGTCCTCACAGAACTATGGTAAGACCAGGTACTTTTCAAAGCGTGAGCAGAACCTAGTCCTTTCTTTTCACATTTCTTCACTGTTTTATGTGTTTTCAAATCCTTCATTTTATTTAGGTTCTTGAACAGTGTAATAGAACATCCTGGTAATATTTTAATCGCCCTTGAATTTACTTGTCATTTTTGTTTGGTTGTCTTACTTTTTTTCTTCTTATGACAGACGTTGAGTCTTGTAAAGCTCCAACTCTTGGTTTTGTTTACTAATTGAATTGTTTTGTCCAACTGTATGTATTCCATCTCTCTCTCTTTCTCTTTTTTTTTTGACTTAATACTTCACATTTCTAAGATTAATTATTTAGATACAGTTAATTGTATTTTTAATGTTTCTAGTAAAAGTAGTTACTTCGGTCTACGACTTTTTTCTCAGAGCTTTTTCTGTCCTCTGTCACTTTGACATGTGCTATTTTTTGTTATTAGGAATCTCCTTTTGGCCCAAGTGTTATTTTTTATATTTCCACGTAATGAATGCATAGGTCATTGCTGTCATCTTACTGTACTGTGGTGTCAACATTTCTAAGTGTCCATAGAACTTCTCTGGGCCTGAATATATGATCCATTTTTATAAAGCATTTGTGTACTCTCAAGAAATGTATTTTTACTCTATCACTTCTATTTGTGAACTCAGTTTTTAAATTACTGTATTCAAATTCACACCTTCTCTGTTGCTTACTTTACAAGTTCTTAACCTGGGGTCTGCAGATTGCCTAGGAGTCCATGAGCATGCAGATCTATTTTGGAGGTTGTGTAGAGGGATCAAACAAAGCTGTGTGGTTATGTCCATGAATGAATTGCTTGGGGCTGGGCGTGGGGTGGGGTATCTGTAGCATTCACGACATTTTGGAAAGGCTCTGTGACCCCAAAATAGTTAAGAACACTCATTGGCCTGGTCAAATCATGGTCTGATGTGTTTCTTACCCTACCTATTTCTGTTTCACTTTGTTTCTATTTTATGTATGTCCTTGTAATATTAGATGTACAGTTCTCTCCAATCCTTTTTGAGAAGTAGGCAGGGTATCACTGAGTAAGTACCATGATATTTGGAACATATATATTGAACAGTAATATATTGAAAAATTGTGCCTTTTAGTACCCTCCTTGCCTTTCTTAAGGCTTCTAGCTGAAATTTCTCTTTTTCAGATATCATAATTGAAGACCCTGGCTTTTTTCACTTTGCATTTGCATGAGTTTATTTAGCTCAGCATTTTATTTTTAAAATTTGTGTATGTGCTTTGCTGTATAGCTTATAAACAGCAAAGTGTTGGATTTTGTTTTCTGATTCTTTCTATAATTCTTTTTATGTAAGAAGTTCTCATATCATTATCATTTAGAGTAAGGTATAAATTATCTTCATATTTATATTTTAATATATATTAACATATTTAACCCAGAAAGGCCATGTCTTTTAATCTCTTATCTCTAGGAGTTATTAACCATGTGTGGAGTATCATCTCTGGGTAGGCTAGAGGCTCCACCATTGGGCACACCTGCTCCTCCCTGTCTTCGTCAGTGCCAGGCTCTGTCCTGAACCCACTCTAACTACCTCTGGCTTCAGTGTTTTTGGCTGTAACATGGAGGAATGAGGCCACCTCACAGCCTTGTGGAGCTCAGAGGAGTAAGAAATACAAACCTTCATGGCAAACTGGGGACATAGAAGATTCTTATACTATTAGTGTTTTGAAAGATTTCTTTAATTTTCTGTTCTTACTCCCAGCGTTCTTTCAACATAACCTAGGTGCTTTGCTTTTTAGAAAATATTGCCAGATATAGCGAGAATTAGACATCACAGATCCGTCCCATGCTCCCTGAGTGAACCTGTATGGTAATTTGATCTCATAATCTCCATCCCCATCACCCGTCTGTCCCAGGTGGGTTCCCTGTCAGCCTTCCCTTTCCCCCTCTCCATGGTGGGAGAAAAGCACTGTCATAATTGCAAAGGATCAAGAATGGCAGATGGGGAAACTGACGCCAATGACTTACCAAAGGTGTGGCGAATTAGTGTTAGATCTACCTGGCAGCCATAGGGAAGAACAATTCCGGATGTTATGCTGGAGCCTTGGTTACTTGTTGCCAGGACTTCTCCAAGGTGAAGAGTGGTTTAGTCACCACCAGCCGAAGTGAAAACCATATACTCTCAGTGTGCTGAGTTGCTCAGCCTTTGAGGGGCAAGTTGCTGAGTTGCTCAGCCCTTGAGGGGCAAGTTGACATTTGCCAACATTACACAAGGTGAATATATATATTTGCCAGAATGTTGATGCACAGATTTACTGGGGGTAGGAAAAGAGAAGCCCTTTTTGGATGGAGAACCCCATCTTCAGTATCTAATAGCCCAGGAAACTGCATCAGAAGGTTGCCTGGTGAGTG